TACACCAATATTATCACAGTATTTCCAGTGGCTGTCAAACTTTAACACACAAAAAACCTAATTGGTATTATCTATTATATTTCATATATATGTACATACGAATGTACAGTTATGAGAGATGAAATTATCAGGAGTTGATTTGTTTTTCGAGTTAGACCGCGGATTGATATCAGTTAGAGTCGGATTGAATCCCAGTGGCTAAATAGTCTACGAGTTTGCCTTGTAACTGGAAAGTCCTATATTCGAAATCATGTGGATGTGTACAGACGATGAGTCCCGAACTAGGATGAAACACCTGTCCAATACTCCATGCTGGTTTTCAGTGGTTCTCTGACTGATATCAATTCGTGGTCTCACCCCAAAAAAAGAAAATGAAATCGTTGAAGAGAGGATTTTCTTTGCTAAATTCTTCATTGTTTTTATGTATAGATTCACACGAATAATTTCAGTCGATCAACTATTCGTCTAACCTGATCGATTGATCCTATGATCATATTCACAATTTCGGAAAGTTTTACACAGTTTGAGGTGAGAATGTGAACATAGTCCCCAAATTTTATAAAAATATTCAGCTTACAATATCACAATATACTATAAATGGCAATCCAGGAAGTAGATATAGTTGCATGTTGGCATATACTACTAATTAATATAAGTAGTTAACCGATGGCGACTGACAGTGAAGTCCGTGGATACACTATTCCTCCTATTCAGGATTTGTCAACTAGTTGGACGTTCATCTCCTGTTCCCTTTGGGACTCGAACCCTGTAACCATTATTTAAGTCATGAGAGCCACTTTTTGCCTTTCCTGTTGATTGATTAATTAAGAGTCAAGAGGGAGTAACCCTCTACTTAACTAAAAGGAGTTATTCAAACTAGAACTGTGATCTAAGATCACTAGATAAAGGCGTCTATCCAATAATCATAAGTAAGACTAACTAACCAGGTCACATATATATAAAATTATGAGTAATTTTGACAGTCAATTATATAAATAGCCTTTTTAATTATTAATATTATTAATACTACTTAAATGATTTAAACTAAAATATGCGAATTTATCTGTCATTCAAATGTAAATAAGTAATAATACATTGAAAACTATTATTATTATATAACCATGATTATTACATTCAGATATAACCTAATGACGTTGTATATTTGTAATAAACTTAAAAATGGTTTATATTTTTATCCCCTTGTATTAAATTATTTATTTATTTATTTACTTTTAGGTGAAAATTTTGAAGACATTTTAAGTTGATTAGACCTGTTAAAATAGAGTTGATGTTGACGATTTCAACAAAATATGACTGAAAAAGTGATATGATAACAATGGATGGCATAAAAATGTTTCTATTAAAAATGGACTATAGAAATGTGGATTATAGTAATACTACTAATTGCTTGTCTAAACTATTATAGATGGAGCGAAGTTCAAAGATGTGATCCATAAGTTTCGGTTTTTCATTAGTTTACACTCATTACCATCAAATTACCATGCCAAGCTTTTTCACCATTCAGACAATTGGGCAAAATCCAGCACTTCCAACAGGTCACTCATACAGTTACTAACTGGGTTTAACACTGATGAACTTCGGCGATCGGATAAGAACCAATGTTTTCAACTTTGTATAAATGATGTACTCTCCCTGTGTTCTCACTCTATTTCTGTATCTGTTTAACTGAAATCTAGGGGATGTTGAATATCCGTTTCGGCCTACTTTGAGATGCTTCAGCAGCAGGCACTTATGATCCTACAAGGCAACTATCCCAGGATTTTTAGCTTACGGATATGCTATCATCCACTCATTTTATCATAATTCAAAGGCTAATGAATTTTACGTGTTTTTTTTTATATTTATTTCACAGTTATCATTATAGCGGCAGTGTTAATCCATACTATCGAGGGGTATTTGTACTCACAACCAAAACGGTGGACTTTCAATTGAATATGACTTTTCTTTTCGATTTTCAGGAATTCTATTCCGTAGTTAATTAACAGAGTGAAGGGTGTATTAATTTTTTCAAATGTCGCATATTCGGGAAGTTTGAAAGTTTCAATTTTAATAGAATAAATTCTAGCGTATCATGAAATTAAGTGATAAATTTAAGTTATTTTGTAGTAATACTTATGTCAATTAAAGTAACTCAGTGATGAATGTATTGTATGACCTCTTTACATATTTCTTACAATAAAGACGAAATATAGACTTATATTTAATATTTTAATTCAGTGCAATAGATAGTGTTTGAATAAGAAGTGTAGATCTGGGTCGCTTACAGGATTTGAACTACTGGCCTCCAAATTATTAGTCGGACGATCTACCAACTAGAGCTATAAGACTTAATTGCAGTAATCAAGTCGTTATTCATTTGAAACCATCATGTATACTGCTTAACTGTAAATCTAGGTTTTCTTTTATCATTCCTAATCATACTTAATTAGAAGGATAGTAGTAGGTTACAGATTCACGGTTAAATCATCCAGAATAGTTTACAGGTTGACATATTCCTATCATGATTTATATTCATACATTTGTTGATTTTGAAAATAATTATGTAACATTTTGTGTAGAACAAAATATCCAGATGTATCTTTGATTAGATTCTTCCTTTTATTCTTTCATGTTCCTAGTGGAACATAGGGCTTCAAGAGAGAGGCTTGAAATTTCTGTAGCAGTGGTGTTTGTTTTTACATACCCAACCTTTCCTCTTTACCAGCTTTATTAATGGCTTAGCTAGGTGAAGGAGCGCGTCGGTGGCCGGAGATCGAACCCCGGACCATGTGCATGACTGGCGAGCGTCCTAACCGCTGTAACACCAACGTAATTTAAATTGTCTTTTTTTATGAACTAATAACATCAGTTAGAGAGTCATGGAAGAAGTCAGGAACTTGCGGATAGTTGTGGTGTGTGTGTGTGTGTATGTGTGACTACAGTTGAAGAGCCCCATTGTATGGTGAAACTGATGTCCAGTGTGCTCCCTGACTTTCTGTAAGTGATATATGTTAGTAATGAAATCTACACCGGAATTACGAATACGAGTTAATTATTGATGAAACTATGTAAGACATGTGTGCTATGAATTACTGGTTTGATAATGATGTAAGGAGGAATGATGAAGGGGTAAAATAATGAAAACTCAGGTTCGTGACAAAATTTAGAAAAACCCACAAAAACCAATCTCTGGATTACTAATTCGATATTCCATCCTTGAATATATTTATTTGATAAAAGTGCACAGTATTACATCACTATTCTCTGATTATGTTTTAAGGAATAAGGATAGAGTCTACACCTAACACATGCAATAGGAATGACCCAACACGGACACCAGTGATATAGAAAATATCATTACCAACAAAAATAAAGGATAAGAAATAATAGAATTATATAAACAAAGTTCAGTGTACTCCGGTGGCACACCGGTAGAATGCTCGCCAACCACGCCACGCATGTGGTCCAGGGTTCAGTCCCCGGCCACCGACGCACTCTTCTACCTCTTCAGGCCAGTAATAAGATTAACAAAGAGGGAAATTTGGGCATAAGGCTGACAAACCATCCTGTGAAAAATAAACACCACTGCTACAGAAACTTCAAGCCTTTAGCTCAAAGCCACTGGGAACGTAAAGGAATAAAAGAAAATAAATAAATAAAGTTTGAAAGTTCTGTGAGTCCCCTGATATAGATTATGAGCAATAAATAGTGCTTGAAAGGTCATCCCTTAAATGGCACTGTATAATACTATGTGATTTCATCAAGTAAATTTTAGCCTATAATTGAATTATACTCTACCAGAGTGGCCAAGTTCTGATCTTATACTAACTCGATGGTCTTCTAGACAACCTACAAGATCCATCTGTTGATTAGATCATCATTTGGTTAGTTATCATATCGGATCCATGATAAACACTGTCCATTTTGACACTGTCGTCATCATCATCACCATCAGTATATTAACTTCTTATCTAAATTCTCAAAAATGACTCAAATCAGTAAAATCGATTTAAAGTGGTTTTACGAAATAAATATTAGAAGTCATTTGGTAGGTTGTCATACATCTGTGTTTCACACTTCTTAGCTAGTAATCATCAGTACTGGGACTATAGATCTACAGCTATCTATTAATTAACTACCGATGACCAATATCAACGCTACGATGTGCCACAATGTTATGTAGCCCAGCCTAGTTATTACTTATTTAAAATATATTAATTGCCGATTTGATAAAATGTATCCATGTATAAAAAACTATAAGCCAGCTATGGTGGAATCCCAAAGGGGTATGTTTCGTACTATCCAAGGACTCGTTGTTTTGATGTACCTATTCTCCAATGACATCTCAGAATACAACACACCTTAGATTATTGAATTAGAGGTGAACAGAACTTTCCCCCACCTATGGCTTCATGAAGAATAACAATGAAAGCATAGATATGAATGATTTGATATCATTGATCATTTGTTTTTGTCCCCTTATATATTCTTCAAGCGAATTGGCAGTATACAAAGATAATCTATCCTTAATAAGATAGATCTTATAAAGGTATGTTTAGTCTTAGATAATTGAAGAAAGTTGGCAGGCACTCCTGGGAATAAACTGCCTACCTACTGATACCAATTAACAATATACGTTGAGTGTCTTCTTTGATGTTGAAATCTACACCATTTAGAATTGCAGCCAGGGTCAGGGTCACGAACTGCCTACTATGCCGTTTTCTTTTGTCCAGTGAACAACAGAATACAATCAAAGGAGTGTCGTAAGCCAAAGAAACTAATCATTCTTATTTGTCTCCTTTTATAGGGCTTCAAGCTTTGAAGTTTCAGTAGCACTGGTGCTGTTTTTTACGAGGGCGGGACCGTGGACTATCTGCATAATTGGCAAGCATTCCACTAGTGGAGTACAGATACACAATGATTCTTACAGCTTATTAATATATAGTAATAATAATAATAGCAATAATAATAATAATAATAACAATAATGATAATACTTACTTTTCTTAATTCATTCATAGCTGTTAACGAATTCATATTCATTAAATGATTATTTGATAGTTTATGAAATTTCTTCTCCATATTTGGTAATTGTAATTGTCTTATTCCATGTTGAACATAATGTTCAGCTAGTTTTGTTGAATCACTGCCTATATAATCACAGAATAAACATTGATGTTTAATGGAATTCAGAAAGTGATAATCATTAAGTTTTTGTGAATTTAACAGACGTGATTGATGAAGATGTGATTTTGACTTTGTAATTACATCATGAGATAGTGATGGAATAGAAGACTGTGAAGATGCTATACCAGAAGAGGCGGTTATTGTTGCCCCTGATGATGGAGAGGAGGAGGTGGATGATAGTGTCGAATGACTACCGCATAATTTGCCTACAAATAAAATTTTTATATATGCTTGTTTAGGTGTTTTAGTATCATTTGCAAGGGGTTCTTCATTTATCTTTTCGCTGTTTATTGTATCATTTATTATAGGGATATTGATATTGTTCGTTTCGGCGCTCTCCTCATTGTCACCGCCACTATCATTATCATTTTTGTCTTCTTGACTGACGCTATCCTTTTCATCGTTAGTAGAATTGACATCAGTTGGTTTTTCGTCTTTATTAGGACTAGAAATATGATCACTGTTGACATTAGTACCACTATTAATACTACTGTTCTCCTCGTTAGTGTTAGTTGTAGTGGTAGTAGTAGTATCTATAGTGCCAACAGTATCTTCATTATTATTTATATTATCCAAAATTGTATCTGAACCTTTCGATACAACAATACAATCTGATGATTGAGTATCTTTCGGTGATTGTGTTCTACACACCTGTAAAGATGATTTGACACATTTTTTATGACGTATATCAATATGTTCATAAAGGAATGCTTTACATGAAGCAATTTTTCGGCATACTGAACATTGATAAAGCATAAAATCTACATTATCATTTGAATGTTCATGATTAAAGTGTACTTCTAGTTGATTTAACCAATGTGTATGAAAGCAACATAATGGACAATGGAGAACTAATACATCAGAGGCATCAAGTAATGGTAGAAGACCCATAGCTTTAGAGAATTGATTTTTTAAAATTTCTCCTTCCTTTAAATGATGAAGTAATTTAATTTGAAAATATGTATATATTATATGTATGTATTTTTAGTGTTGCAATCTATGAGATGACAGTAATGTACGTTGTATTATTATTAATAGCAGTAATAATAATTATAATAAAATCGGAGAATAATTTTGTTAACTCTCCTACACTGTCTAACACACATTTCATCCGTTTTCTAAATCAATGAAATTAAAAATGGGTGGACTACAAATTTCATGTTTCCTTGATATTGGCATTCTGACGACGTGTCAAATCGCGTCAGAAGCTACACATATGCCTTTAAGTCTATAGGGGGTGAGAGAGATAAAAATCCACCAGTGTAGAGAGTATAAAATAAAATACTTTGACGCACTACTTATTCTACTACTACCACTACTACTATTTACTGCATATCGCACATGTGTGATATTTCAATGAGGGGGGGGAGTGATATGACTTGTCCACCTATACACATGTGCGTGTGTGTGTGCGCGCTCACTGCCCTAGCTTGGAATGCTATATTGCTGTCACCCTGTCGATCAAACCTGCCTTACTCCGATTGGCAATCTACAACTGTCACATGACACATGCGGCAGCTCATATTGTCATTCGACGAGATTGGTGCGTTCGTATATGTAGGCATGCCATTCATGTATAGCGATAAATGCGTGTGGGTGGGCTTGTAGACAATTTTGAAATTTTTAGGGGGGCGGAGGTGTGAGCGTGTGTCCTTTATCGCAGGATAAAGTCATGACATATCATTGAAAGTGTATATGTATGCAAATATATAAATACACTACAGGGGGCAGACAGATTAGTGGTTAGTTGTCACACACTGTGATTCAATGAAGCAAATTAATCACTCACTACCACTAGTACGCCGCTCCTACTACTGCTACTAAAATATAAGGGGATATTTTTATTTTAGGGTCTAGAAAAAATGTTAAGGAAAGGGATTTGTATATTTTCAAAAAAGGGTTGACAATGAAAATCTTAAGTGTTCTTTCCTCTAATCAAGGGAGTGTAGATAGGGCAGGATACAAAATTGTGATTATTTCAATGTATAGATTTTTTTCTTTGCTTTATTCATGCGTATGTGAATATGCTGAAAGGATATGTCTTTCCCAAATTGTTTCCATATATTCATATTTAGAAATATATTCAAGCAATCTGACTGAATATTTCTCATATCCACCCACATGTAATCAAAGAAACTATGATAACAGATGAGTGAGTGTATAAACTAGTCGTTTGTATACAGAGAACAAATGATATTAATAGGGGATTTTACTGACCTAAGTCGCTAGTTAAATCTATATAGATGGGATTTCCTGGAGTTCTAGTGAGAAGTCGGGACCATTGAGGCCCACCAAGATGTCACGTGTGAGGATGGATGTCCCACCTACGACATTGGTTGGGGGCGCGCTAAAATCACGAACTGGTAGAAGTTAGAATTCACGCACTGGCCATTCAATCAGGTCCCAGTGGTTGAATGGTCTACGAGCTGGCTTGCCTTGTAACCGGAAGGTCCTGAGTTCGAACCTCCTATTGGTGGGTGCGTACTGCCGATAATTCCCAAACTAGGATGAAACAGCAGCTGTCCATTACTCCCTGGTTTTCAATGGTTCTCTAACTGATATCAATCCGTGATCAACTCGTAAAAACAAAACTAACCCTTACAAACCAAACTATAGAAAATTAATAAATAATGTTCCGAAATTAAACCTATATAGTTTATATCCAGAAAGATCAAGTTTAAACAGAAAAATAAAGGTTTGGTTACATTGACGAAAGAATTACGTAATAAATATAAGAGGTGAATAATATGATGAGCAATCAATAAGTTGAATAACAATGTGGTGAATTCAACTCAAATCATAGAAACAAGAGACGAGCAAAGTTACATTATGGTGGGAGGGTGGAGAGGTCAGAGCTAAGAATTACGCAACCAAATGATGGAGACAGATAGAACAAAGACATCCAATTATCACAGTAAGGAAAGACTAATAACTACTTTTTTCTGAACACATAAATTGGGTTTTCTGGCGTTTGATAGAGATTGCTTCGACAACCTTCAAGAGAACGGATAACTTTAAAGGATTTCATGATGTTCACCCGATGACCAGCGTCGGCGAGACATCTAGCAACGGCACTATTTTAAACTTTCGTTCCTTTGAGGCATAGGCTTTTTGGCACATGTTCAAAAAATCGAAGGTTTGCCTTTTTTTCTGTTCTCCCAAGATAACTACTACCTCAGATACATTTAAATTTCTGTACACAGTTAGAGTTGTTAACATGGGAAGAGTATCTGCCGACCTTTGATTGTACCAAAGAACATATTACCCGATAAACAGAAACCAACTTAGCTGCAAGATAGGTTCTGGCCGGTTAGGTATTCAGCCCTCTGTTAACTAATCCCTAACCCTTTATCTTCACATTTTCTTTGCCGGTCAATGAATTTCTAGTCGATAATAGGTAGACTTCATTTTACAAAACAGATTCATTGCGTTTATCATGAGATTACTTGTCAAGAAGTATTACATAACTTATGACAAAGTTATTATAATGCAGACTGACTAAGATTCCAGGACTCTTTTTTGATTTGTTCCATTCAAAAGATCTAATTGAATTAGAAGCCTCTATGTTGTATCTAGGGATGAATAGGCTGGGATGTTCAGGCAACTATAAAAGCCTCTGTGTAATTCTGATTTTGAATGAACAGGTTAGGTTGGTTGATTGATGAATTTATAGCCTTTAATTTGATGAAAGCTCCATTAATATGTAATAATAATAATAATGGACTGATATTTTGATTACCTAGTAGACGAACTTCAGGCATGTATAGCTTTCATCATTATACCCTTTAATTATTGTCAAATAAATAATTACATATTCACACCTGAGTTTTATATAACTTTGATAGGTATATATATATTTCATTTGTTGCCGTGGCGATTATTAAACGAATGATGGAGAAAAAATTTTATTACTTAAAAATTTAACACATGATTAAATATACTCACATGCAGGTTGATAGGCACAACCTTGTGAATCGAGGATGTCAACTAGCTGATGATGATCATTCAACCAGACATGAAAATAAAAGTGTCAACAAAGAAATTATTAGTAATAATATTGTTAGTCAGTCTGGAAGATGTCAAGCATTATGAAACATTGTGAATGAAAGTGTAAGGATATATTGTTGTTGAAATGTCTTTTCTATTTTGTTTTTCGTTATGATAAGAATTATTTTTATGTAATCTGTTCACATCACGCCAACAATTATAAGTTTGACCATGGATTGACATTAGTAAGGGCACCATTAAAGACCAGTTCCGGACAACTGTTTCGTCCCAATTTGGGACTCACTAACAGTACAGACCCGCTGGGATTCGAACTCGTGGACTATTTAGCCACCATGGATTCCAAATTTTGCTAGTTAGTGATCTTATCACGACCTTGAGCCAATGTTATTAGCGAGTGTCTGTCCTTACACCCAACCTGTTGGACCCCATCGGGCAAGACTTCTCAATAGAACTCCAGGCAATTTCGTTCTGTAGACGGCCGAAAGCTCTTGGTTTCGAACCCTGGAGGGTGTGTACTACCAATGAGTCCCAAACGTGGACGAAACAGCTGTCCAGTACTCCAGTGATGGTTTTCAGCGTTTCTCTAACTGATATCAATCCGTGGGCAAAATTGAAAGCAATCGAATCCCTACAAACTAACTCTTGAAGATATAGAATTTGTCGATGGTTCAACTATCTGAGGTAACCACGGACCATCAGATCTCAAGTGAGTGAAGTAGAAATCTGGTTCAAAACACAGTGACCACATGATAACTAGCCCATCGTTCTACTACCTAAGTTATGAGACCCAAATGCAGTGATGATTACTTAGTTGACAAATGGAGAAAAGCAGTTGTTGTTGTTATATACTACTATTGGTGGATTGAAATAAGTAGATGGATACCACTCATGTCAATCATTAGTCTTTACTAGTAAGCCTAATCGAAGTGATCTAGATGTCGAATAGCTGTTTCACTCACTTTGGTTCCAGAACACCAGCAGTATGCCTGGTTTGACTCAGTTAAGAACAGTGAGTGAGTATATATATATATATATATATATATATATATATATATCAAATCGCCTTTTTTAAGTGGCTGTAAATAGATGTATTTATAACAATTGCATCGGTGTGGAATTTTATTCATGGTTTATAAATCTAGAAATATATCCACTGAAATTTCATATTCCTATTCTATTTACTACCTTAGATCATGGAAATGTTTGTTTGTCAAACACCTCATACTGGCTGATGAATAATTCACTATCCATTCTGATAACTGATACATAATAAATTACAATTGTATTATTACGTTGGATATAATTAATGTATACAGGGGCGATGATATAGTATAGCTTAAATGCCCCCACCTTATCCACCACCGGTTTCAGTGACTGCCATTTGGACAAAAGTAAAAACAAAGGACTCCTAATGCAAAAGGCTTCTCAACCTAAAATCATGAAAATGCAATTTTTTTATGTTTAATTTTGAAATCTCACGCCTAGATATGACTTGGAAGTGCCTTTTACTCACTAGATTTATTTGTATAGCAGTATTAAGAAGTTAGACTTTTTGATTGATGATGTCCAAAAGTAGAACTTAGGATGTACACACACTACGTCCTATTTAGAACAAGTCATTTGGATGTACTTGTATTCCAGGTGAACGATGTTACTTCCATTTAAGACTCATACCTAACATCTATCATTTCAAATACCAAGTGGTTATCCTCTAGGCTACTGAGACAAAGGATGAGATTGTTTACAATAACCTTTAATTGACAGAATAAATTCATTCACTACAGAATTAAACAAAAGTATCCTAAACTAGAAGTGATTATCTGTTTACTAATAATGAATCACAGTTGACTTTTGATCGACTGAATTACACAACAGTCAAACCTCTGAATTTGACATAATATAGTAATATCAAATTACACGGTCGTTTGAAATTGCTTAGAGATCATATTTTCAAATTCAATCATTACACGTAGCTTGAGAAGTATATCAGTGATCGAGTTACAAAAGAATAAAACTACTTCTCTCACATAAAAACACATGACACAATGAAGAGGAAGCATACCCTTTATGAGTCGGTGATTTCTGTGTAGGCTGTGGACTAAACATTCATCCTTAAACTAGGCCAAATAAATTTTGTCACAATGAATATTTCTAACCAGTCAGAAAACGTATCAGTGGTTCAGTGGTATAACACTTGCATATCACGCCTAAAATGGTTCAGGGTTCGATCCCCGGTAGACGTACTCCTGAACTTCACTTAGTCCCTGGTAAGACAGGTAAAGAAGGAAGGTTGGGTGCGAGGCTGGAGACCCTTTCCAGTACATAG